TTCAAATATGAAAGTTGTAGGGTTTCTTCATCTCTACTATTATCTTTTGGCACTCTTTTAACAAACAGATGCGAATCGCATGAAAAAAAAAATTGTCCAAATCAGTATTTTTAAATGGTACGCCCTGTATATTTTTAACTCCAGTGAAATAAATGTTTCTTCTTTCAAATATATATAGTTTGCTGATCTCCATTGAGCTATTTTTCATTTATTCAGGTTTTTCGATATTGAATCAAAATTGTCAATAACATTTAGATGGCCGTGCACACCAGAATACCAAGGAAACAAAACAGGTCCTTTTTGACATCTCTGTCGTTTTCTCCAATTGGAATTTGGAAAAATATGAAATAGTATATGATTGTATTATGGCAAAATTGCAAAAATGTCAGTAGTGTAGCAGGAAATTAGTCAAAAACGGGTTAAGGGAACATTAGCATTAGCTATATATTTGTGAACAGAAGAAAAATATCGTTCACTAGAGTTAAAAATATGCAGGGAGTTCATTTGAAAAAACTGATTCGGGCTCTTTCACTCTATTTTGCGATACGCATTTGTTTGTTTAGGAAGTGCCAAAAGATAGTACAGATGAAATCCTGAAAGAAAGGTTTAGTTCAACTATAGTTGCACCTGTAGGTAGGCCTCAAAATGAAATGAGACACACTGTATAGAATCACCCCAGGTAGCACATCATATTGGCTGGAACCTGATTTCATATCGGGCCGATATAGATATATCGTACATGTGAAAGATAATATAGGTCCAATATGAGAGTATATTGGACATAAAATGATGGAATGATAATATTGGTGGAATATTGGTTCAACCTCAGCTGAATATGGATTGTCAGCTACAATATTGGAGCAATTTTGGTTAATGTGTTGAAAAACATATCTATAAATGTTATATAATATTGTTTCACAAATGTCGATACAACATCGTATATATATTGTTTCCAACAATTATAACCAATTTCGCAATTTGAACATTTTCTCCATGTCGATTCTGAAGCGGTTATGCAATATTGTATATTCAAGTTTGACAACATATTGGTTGAATATTGTTTTAACAATATTTGAAACATATTCACCTATCTTGATTGATATCATCTTATCTATATCATGCGGAAGATATCGTATACATTTTGTTTCTTACATTAATAACCAATATCGTGATTTGAATATTCTCCTCATGTCGATTCTGAAGCGATTGTGCAATATTGTATATTCAAGTTCGACGGCATATTGGTTGAATATTGTTTTAACAATATTTGAAACATCGTATCCACCTATCTTGATTGATATTATTTTATCTATATCATGCGGAAGATATAGTATACATATTGTTTCCAACAATTATAACAAATATAGCAATTTGAACATTCTCCCGATGTGAATTCTGAAGCGGTTATGAAATATTGTATGTTCGAGTTCGACGGCACATTGGTAGAATATTGTTTCAACAATATTTGGAACATTAAATTTACCTATATTGATTGATATCATTTCAACTATATTATGCGGAAGATATCGTATACATATTGTTTTCAACTACCATAACCAATATCGCAATTCAAACATTCTCCCCATGTCGATTCTGAAGCGGTTATGCAATATTGTGTAATCGAGTTCGACGGCAAATTGGATGAATATTGTTTCAACAATATTCAGAACATATTGTTTCCAACAATTATAACCAATATCGCAATTTGAACATTCTCCCCATGTCGATTCTGAAGCGGTTATGCAATATTGTATATTCGAGTTCGACGGCTCATTTTTGAATATTGTTTCGACAATATTCAAAACATCATATTTACCCAAATTGATTGATATCGTTTTAACTATATCATGCGAAAGACATGGAATGCATATTGTTTCAAAGATGAATATCAATAACGGCAATTCAATATATATTATATTGGTCATAGAAGAGAAAAACCATATTGTATTTTCAAGTTCAATTGCATATCGGTTGAATAGTTCTCCAGCCATAGTCAGAAAATAATATAATCTCATATTGGCTGATATCTGATTCACTATATCATGTGAGCAATATGGTTCACGTATTGTTTCGAAAATACATATCGATATCGAAATTTCCATTTTAATTGCATATCACGCACTCTCAAACCGATGTCGATAGATGGCGCTATAATTGATTGGTAACGTACTCCCATTGCCGATCAGACGAGATAATATAAATATTGGCTCTAGAGGATTGAAAAGCATTATAACCTGGAGTAGGGGTTAACCTTGATCAACAAGGCGGCTTCCCCAGGGCAAGACCCTCCCATTGCACTTCGGCTGGGCTGACCTTTGTGATTATTCCTATCGCAAATATTGGTATGGAAATATTCCACCAATATTTTGAAGACAACATAGCCACATAATAATTTTCAATAATGTACCAATATTTCCAACCAGTATTGTCAAATGTTCACTGTTCATTTATCAGCAATATTGTTACCACATTTTGTGACCAATATAACTCCACAAATATTCCAGCAATATTGGTATGAAAATATTCTACCAATATTCATGATGATTTTCAATGATTCACCGATATTTCCGTATGATATTGCACCAATATTGCCAAATGTTGATATTACATTTTGTGACCAATATTTCTCTACGAATATTCAACCAATATTGATATAAGGATATTTCACAATTTTTTTCGAGACGATATTGCAACATGCTGATTTTCAATATTCTACCCACATTTGGAAACTGATATTGTACCAATATCGCCGAATGTTCACATTTTTTTTTCGCCAATATTACTTTCACAATATTTTGCCGATATTTCCGTAATATTGCACCAATATTGTCCCAATATATGTGTGCTACTTGGGACCGAACATATTAGATACTTTCCCAATGAATACGATGGATTTAACAATTTTGATCCATCAAATGTTATAATGGATAGATATACTTACAGGTATATAATATTATAATGTGAATAGAAACATTATTTTAGTTCCAAATGCTGAAACGCTGAGCAGCATACTAATAATTTATTGTATTATAAATATTATGATTAAAAGAAAATACTCAGTCATTTCCACAAAATGTTTATGAAATGAACAAATATGGAGATAACGAGAGAAAAACAAGCACTTCCCACGCATATAACATTGACTTACATCCTCTCGAAATATATGCAATTGCAATGATTAGTGAAACGAATACTGTGTTTTAAAAACTACCAAGAGTTAAATAAGTGAAGCTTCAAAAAAATTTTGCCTCCGTTCATTTCATAGAGTAACTCCCATTATATCTTTCCATTTCTTTCACACCATGGTTCTATATGTTAAAATTATTATTTAGTCAGCTGCTATTATGCATGGCTGCCATTGTGATTCCAGAAATTCTGAGGTTGTGATCAATTTTTGAACCGATATTCAGATGAAAACAAAAAAAAAACGCTTTGTTTTCAAGATACCTGGTGTTAAGAACTTGAGAAAAAACTTATTTGATCCGTATCTCAGAAACACTACGGCCAGTTCCAAGAAAATGCCCAGAGTTCATTAATATTCGTTAATATCTCAATAATTGGTATCTATTGTACCTGAAATGCAGTTGATCTACTCATTTCATGGACCTGACCAGGGGTTTAATCAAACTCTTTTTTATAATGCGCACTTATCGATTCACAGGGTGGCAAATAATATCGTGAATCGGTAAGTTAGTAAAATTGTACAGGAACTTTTTGGTGTGCTCAACATGAAGAACATTTTGGTGAATTTTTGGAATGTTTTTAGCATTCTAGCTTTTGTATCAATATGTTCCAGAGACATGCAATTGTTTTTTTCAACTAACTGGCATATGAAAAGAATCAAGGGTCCAAAAAGCTTTATTCAAATCGATTCATTAAAGACAAACTATAGAAATGGCAGAAAAGTTCTGGAAGATATTTTTTAGCATAAAACTAACAGACTCGCTCCGTGGGCATGCCTTTGTGATAACTGGATCAACTGCAAAAATGGACGAAATATACCTGATTAGGCGAGTTAATAAAATATGAATGAACTGAGGAAATTTCATAATTCATTGAGAAACAAGTTTTTTTTAATGTAAAAACTTCACAAACGATAAGATTTCCACAAAATTCTTAAACACACAACATGATAAAATGAACTGTTCATTGTACCAGTATATCACCTGACAAAGCTACTGTGTTAGCAAAACATGTTGTGTGTTTAAGAATTTTGTGGAAATCTTATCGTTCGTGAAGTTTTTACATTTGCCATGGATTTCCATCAAGTAACGGCCGAGTCAATTTAAAAACAAAAAATTGCATGTTGGAATTATTGTCGGACATCAATATTCATCAAGACACTATTTTTATTTCATTTTCTACTCCTTTTTAGTTTCGCTATCTATAAAAGCGTGTGTCTTTAGTTTTTCAAACTACCATTTATTTCAACTTCTTTTTAGTTCACTCGGAGCTCGGAAGTACCCCCGTATCTTACGTGATTGACTTCATCTTTGGACTTTCCCTTCCTCCTGAAAATTTGAGAACCCTACCTCAATAGTTACCTGAGATACGGGGGTGCTTTCATGAGAAGTGAGACAAAATGTAATTCTTCTGAACTGAAAATTTTCAGAAATACTACGAATAGTTAGTGGATTCCGAATCCGAAGAGATTTTCAATCTCTTTTGACTCCTAATTTCATTTTCCGAAAATTGGAGTGGTTCCATGGCTGTTGGCGAGCAGTGTATATCACTGAATGACCCCACTTGGTCATAAAGTGCATTCTTTGTATACCTCTCACTCTAGCAAATTTCAGGATCCTTACCCAACGATTACGTAAGATACAGGGGTGTTTCCATTAGAAGTGGGTCACACTGTATATCCGAGAAAAAAGTACTCACTTTTTTTCCCACGGGACAAAAGTAATTCATGAAAAGTGACATTTTATAACCTGCCAACAGAGATGAAATGCCAAACTTTTTTCCCGTCACAGAAAAATAACTATTTTTATTTGTTTCAGTGCACCTTCGCCTGAACCCACGGAACCACACCCGCGGTGATACCAGAACCGCCGGACCGCCTCCAACTGCCTGCCTCCTCTAACCGTCAACCGCCTGAGCCCAGTCCCTAGTCTACTTCGTCCCTTGTGATCCTAATTTTAATTCCAACCCCGTGATATTATGTATAATTTGAACGTAGACCTGGCACAATCGGCCGCCAACGCGGTCAACGCGCTGCTGGTGGAGGGGGCGGCCACCACCCCGCGCACCCCTGAGATCCTCAACTCGTTGATCGCCATGACCAACCCCATGGACGGGTACGGGTTCCAGGGGGGCAAGCGGAAGGCCGACGGCGCTGCGCTCAACATGAGCAGCGATTCCAACAGGTGAGAACTAGATAATAGTGTAGTAGATATGCGATAAAAAATGTTCTCAGGTGGAAATAATTCCCACAATTTTTTTTTTGCTTTCTTCAGTTCAGAATGCATAGAATAACACATATGAGAAAATATAGAATGATACCTGAGTGCAAAATAAAAATACAGTGTTTCCAATATTCGCATTCATTATCTACAACTTCCTGGATTGAAATATTGGTATACCTTTACGGGCTTTACGAACAATTATTGCACAATACTGTGCAAGAAATTCCGTATCGTCGACATTCACATCAGGTTCCACAAGGTTCATCTACTTCAGATTTGCAAGAACTTCTGTACGTCATCATTCAATGAAGAAAACCAAAGCTTATGGAGTTCATCGACAAGTAACCGAGATCGAAAATCTCGATGATATTGCACACCAACACCTAGACGAATTGGATGTATGATAGATCGTGGCCTTGCAGCATGCATTAGTGCCTGTTCAATTGAATTTTTCTCCAAACCTCGTGGATTTTTTGTTGATTATTATAGACAAGAATGTTTTCAGAATGTCGGGTAGAAGCTTATTATTTTCCTGCTCGGAACATATTTCTTCTGGTGAAGGATAAAACTCTGAGGATGTTCTCATCAACTTGATTAAATTCTCAATCAGTTTAGCTGTTGCTTCAATTATCCGAAATTTTCCTGCATCTTCTTCTGAACACTTTTGTCGCTGATAATCACAGATTATATTGGCAACTGTTTTCCCTGTTACGATCATATTAGCTCTATACCTTTTTGTTTCAATATCATAATTTCATCCGAGAAATAGTCTTCTAATTTTTTATGCATACAACGAACACGTAAGGTTCGATATTTTCTGGCAGCAGCTCTGCCATTTTGTCCAACAACTCCTGAACTGAAATTGGTTCATCATTTTCCTTGAGCCACCTGCATGTTTCTAAAAAGGCATCTTCTTTATTTTTATCAGAAGGACGTCCTGCTAACTTTGTCTCTTCATTGGGAATATCATGTTGATGTTTCTTAGGAAAAGAGTCGCCTTTTTCAAAATCCACACTACATTTCTGATTATACAGAACATCTTCTGCTGGCAAGTATCGATAATGGAAAGAAGACGTGCAAGGACATTTGATGATCAAACATCGTTTCTTGCATCACATACACCAATAATAGTTTGTCGAAACGCGAAAGTTCGTACTGGTAAAATTGCAGATTCTATTATTTTCTCAGTTTCCTTGATGAATTGATCACAAAACAAGCAATCATCTTTGAATGTGAATGTCGGCAGCTCAGATCACAATGCTCTGTTGCTGCTGCTGCTACTAGTTGATGCTTCCCTATCAGGATCTGATTCAAACCTGAGATTATTCTTCATCTTGTTTGGATTTACGAACAAAGGACGACATTCGACGTGAACAATCAGAGGATGAACAGGCACTGGTTCCAAGAGTTCAATTATTTTGCCTTGCTGCTACTTGTTAGGACTTATAATTCCTTGGACACCTTTAGCAGTCAATTTAACACAATTCGAACTATCATCAGTACTTGACGAAAATAATAAACATTAGTAATTTCACATCGCTGCTTTTAATTCACTATATTTGGGTATACCTGGAATAATATATCAAATAATGGAACCTTGCATTCACGATCACAGAGAATAGTTTCAATCACATACCAAAATGATTGTTTCACACCTCGACATGAATTTTGAGATCTGCTAACCATATTATCATTTTTAGAAAGAATTCGTTTAAATTTTAAATCTTATCCTGAAGATCCTAACATAGGTAGCAATAATTTCGGTTTGGGCACCTGAAATATAAAAAGTTGCATTAAAACATTTTTGCATGAAAGAATGCATCTATATTTTTGATATAGTGTAAGGGGTCGAATGAGGCTTCAGGAAATGAAAACTGCGTTTTTGTGGGAATTATTTCCACCCCAATTCCTTCAACTGCTCTACTATAATGCCTCGAACATCTCATTTTCCTACGACCACCTATGAAAACAGCACAAAACACATTGATTTGTTATTGAGAAAATGACTCGTTACACTATGACAACATATAACAGTTAGAAAGTTCGAAAGTAAAACTCACATGGGTGGGAATATTCGAAAATCGCACAGTAACAGGGTCTATAGATTATGATGTACCAATAAATGATTATTATGCTGAATTATGGTAAGTTAAGTTATGGTCAAGTTAATGGAAAGTTAGTGTCGATTCAACATGAGTTATTGTAGTTAATTTTGACGTAATGTTAAGTTGATGAAAAGTTGAAATCAATTTAATTTCAATTGAAAGTTGAATCAATGTCAATGTATTGGCAATTTCGTGATTAATGTGAAGTTGATGTCAATTTGATATTGAGTTGATGTTAATTTGATTTTGAGGTAACGTCAAGTTAATTTTGAGTTTATGTTGATTTAATGTTGAGTTAATGTTGAGTTAATGTTGAATAGTTATTGAGTTAATGTTAAGTTGATGTCAAGTCAATGTTAATTTAATTTTAAGTTAATGTTGAGTTGAAGTTGAGTTAAAATTAAGTTAATTTCAAGTGGATGTTAAGTTGATGTTAAGTTAATGTTGAGTTAATGTTAAGTTCATATTAAGTTAATGTTAAGTTAACTTTCAACTAATGATGTCATTTAAATATTGAAGTAAAATTAAATAATGATGATAATGATATCACCTTCATGTGATCGAATATGATTAGAAACATGATCCCTACTCTGGTCTTATAAACACTCATGACATATAATATAAATATTTGTGGTCGTAGGAAAAATAGTGTACAAAACTCGTTGGAAAGTGCATTTCCTGCGCTCGTTTCGTTTCCGCACTCGCCGCTCTGCGGCTCGTGCTAAACGTCCACTCGCGCGAAATATGTCACTATGTCCACACTAGTTATGTAATAGAATAGAATAGAATAGAATAGAATAATTTATTTACCATAATATACTATTTACGTCCTTCGAAGAGTGTGGAAACACTTGTCAACGATGCACGGTAAAAAAGGATTTGTTGCATCAACAAATTATTTATGCTAAAATTATTTGTGTTGGACTGAGCAATTTTTTGTTGAATCAACCAAATACATGATTATTTCATGGAAGCAGCTTGTTCAAATCAAGAATGTTGTCTAATTGAATCAACAGTATGATATCAATTCCATCAACAACATATTATATGGTTTTCTCAAAAACAAATTATGTCGATCCAAAATAATGTCGATGTTAATTCAACTATAAACATTTTGTTGATTTGATCAAATAATGATCAGTTTGATGAGAATATATCTTTGAAACAACATACAAGTTTTCTTATTCCAATGTAGCAAGTAGCAATGAACTCGTTTCGAACGGATCATTTGCTTGAATAGAGCAACGAAATATGTAATATCAATGAAATATTTTGTTCACTGTACATCAAGTTAAATTTCCGTCACTAGATGGCGATCATTTCGCCTCGTCTATGCCTGCCTCGAATTCATGATATACGTGAAGCCTGATTCTTCGTGTTCGAAACATCAGCTGGATAAATCGAACAGGATGATTAGCAATCCGAAATAGTTTTGCTGAAGAGAAGTAAAGGCGATATCTATGCTAGAAGTCGACTATTTCCCTAGTATAGTTTATTCTATTGATGTGAAATTTCAGAAAATTCTCGAATTAATACTGAATTTGGTTCAACAAAACAATTTGTCGAATGAAAATACAGTTTCATTGAATCAACCAAATAATTCATTGAATCAACCAAATATTTCTTTGAATCAACCAAATATTTCATTGAATCAATTGAATATTTGATTAAATCAATTTCCTTCATAAACAATTCATGGATGTGCTTGATGGAATAAGATCCAGAGTTCATGCAAGACATATTTACTCAATTCAAACTTCAAATTCGCTGTGAAACAAAATATAGATTTACTCATTCCAAGATTATATTTTGTCGTGCATATATGACACTTTTATTTGCTTTATTCAATTAAATTTCGCTTGATTCAACAATTCCTTTTTTTTTTCGTGTGACAACTTCGAATTGTCATCATTCCCAGATAAATGTATAGAAAGTCTTATGGTGTGTGGTGATATCACTTTCTATTGAAAGGTGTTTCGAAATCTCTCGATATCGCCTACTTTGTAAAAATAGAATCTTGCTGAATTTCCGAAGTTTCAAACCAAATTTACATTAACGCATTCATTTGAGTTCACATTTTTATTTTCACAATTTTTTATGTAAATGCGGAAACGGTGCGTTATATTTCCGACTTTCAAGAAAACCCTGCGATAAAAGTTTATTTACTCTCTTTTGGTACATAAAATAAATCGAATGTTCGGATTTTCGAATAATCCTTACACATTGTAGCAGTCAGTCCATGATGAAAGCATAATACACCCTCTCAACTGATGATAGAATATCAATACCTGCTCAATAAACTACTAATGCTCTTATTTTATAATATGTATATAATATGCTAAGAACATGACACTCGTGACAGATATGTCGAGATCAAGATGTTTCCGCACGGATTATTTCTTGCGCCCTGAATCTTCTGCGTCCTGTCTCCAGATGATTCTTATCAGCTATTATTGAATTCGTGCATCTTCAACGGGACAGGATTCTTCAGGTCCCGAAAGAAGAAAAACACGCCATTCAAAGTCTAGTTCAACTTCATAATAAGATTCGAAACGCATTTTGAAATTTTCCAAGAAACTGTCCATCGTTCACGACACCTATCATCGGATATGAGAACCGCAAGTTCCGAACTCGCATTCAATTGTTCATATCGGGAGTCAGTCTGAAGGAGCAATTGAAAAGTGGGCACACCAGAGGAATTATAAACATCTCAATTCCCAGATTCGAAACGTCTGAAAATTGAATATGCGTCCCGCGACAATGTTTTCGAATATATTTTGTTCTACAACAAATTGCAAAAATTTTGAGAATGATGATTACACGGAGAGGAAAAGTCATATTTAATAGTGACAAGTAAAAACTTGTAAACTATTTGAGACAACGAAACAAGTTGATAACCACAAAAATATTTGTATTAACCTGTTCCAACGAATTTCAGATTGATTACCGTTAGTGGACACAGCACATGTCATGAATGACTCATTCACTTGTCATTAGTGACTTATTCACCTGTCATTAGTGACTTGTTCACTTGTCATTAGTGACTATTATTCATTTGCGATTAGTGATTTATTCACTTGTGATTAGTGACTTGTTCACTTCTCATTAGTGACCTAATCATAATGTCATTAGTGACCTATTTATTCTTCATCAGTGGCTTATTCACTTGTCATTAGTGACTTGTTTACCTGTCATTAGCTAGGTACTATGAAAAATTACATATAATATTGTTCTCTGAAAAATTATAACCTTGATAAAAAGACAAAAACTCATGCATTCAAAACATATATTGTATAGTTATGATCAATCCAGAAATCAAAAATAAGTAAGCTGACGACAAATATTGAGACACTAGATACCGGGTATATCAGGATTATGCGCCGAGAAGAACGATCAATTGCACTGGTACGCTCCTTTTTTCTTCAGTGATAATAATAACTCATTGAAATACTTCCGTGAACTTCTCTACACCTCCTCAAACTCCCCAAACTTCCTCGAACTTTAAACTTCCTTGAACTTCAGTTATGTTCCTGAAGCCGGCCCTGTCTATGAAGACAATAATGTGATGATTCGAAGGATGATATACAGAATTCAGAGTCAGCTTCCCTACCGGACTCTATCTTTGCTGAATAGTTTTATACCGTGAATTATTTTCTAAATCATGTATGGAAATTAAATATATAGGGTGAGCTAGTTTTTCGTAGCAGGACTTCAACATCTAGCTTATGAACAATGATGTATTACTCTCTCCTGGAATACGCCCTAGATAATGTCAAATCAACAACTTAATAGCATTACCATACGAGGAATTTCGTCTACCATTATCATAAATCTAAAGGTGGAATCAGACGACTGATGTAAAGTTAGTTATTGAAACAATCTCCCGATTAACCAGCCCTTGGCACACATCCCTCTTTTTTTTAGGTCACATCCTAATTATTCTGGTATATTTGAATTGCTCGTGAGCTTACGAACACAGTTATATATTCTGAAAAGTCCACATCGATCAGACACCTGGAAAAAAATTTACTTGGGACCAAAGGTCACAAAAAAAGTGTTTTTCACGATTATCAGCAAAATGGTGAAATTAATCATAAAATTAGCAGAGACAACAACTTTAGATCAGATAATTAAATATAAAGAAAAATGTTCAGTTACTTTTTTTATAAAAGTCGCCGTTTTTGAAATATAACGATTCAAAAAGTTCGAAGAGTTGTAATCCGTCTGAATCCGTCATAATATGCACACGTTTCCTCGCCATCTTTCCGGTAGTGTACTTAGCGCATTTTTTTAATGTGGTTTTTCCGGTGGGCCTATTATTCCTATATATATGCAACAATTACAGAACTACTTGATAGATACTGAAGTTTACGAAACATTTACAGAAGGATTTTTCCTCGGATTTTTCACTGTTAGAAGTTCAGACAAATTGAGTTGTAAAACTTTATGCGTATGTCGTAAACGTATTCACTTTTGAGATACAGGGTGTCAATGTTGAAAATATGCATAGATTTTTTTTGTCCACCCTGTATAGCTTTTCGTGATGGCAAAATTCAGTCTGCTATGTGACTGAATCGGTATACAAATCTCAAAATGGTACATACTGTGGTTATTCAGTAATGGATGTCCTGGATGGAGTACTCAGACATCAAAATTTGAAATCTGGTCACGTTTTTCCGTTTTTTCCTCAAAAACGAAGCGTTCTATCGAGTATCAACAAGAGGATCTTTTTTGTACATAATTAAATAGCCTCTTATGACATTGCATAAAATTCGAAAATTGTTTGTCGTTGCTCACTTTCGATTATAATATAAACAATAATATCCCCGGAACGGTGCCACTGGTACAGAAAATGAAAATGTTTGTACATCAGAAGATGCACCTTGATGCATAAAACACGTGTACCAAATTTCATGAAGATGTGTACAATATTGTCTCAGTTATTATCAAAAAACTGAATATTTTTCAAAACTTCATCACCCTGTATTTCAAAAGTTAAGACTTTTAGGACATACGTTCATATGAAGTTTTCTTCTTGAAATGAGTCGAGTAATCACCCCCTCAAATATTACCATGTCTTTAAGGAACACCCGAACTCAATTTCCTATCAATTATGTTCCATATTTTCTCCTGCAAAATTGTTAGTAAAAGCACGAAGAAATAATTAGGTAAGTAGTTAGACTCCGAGCGCCACGCTTTGAACGACATAACGAATCAGATTTTTCTACTTCATCTGAAGGTGCCACGCCAGGATCACTGTAGTGATAGCATTGTTTCTGATGAGAGTTCTGAGTAGCGCTCTGCGAGTTTTTCAAAATGTTCTCCCCTCGGTTCTCCCTGTGTTTTTACAGTTATCTTCTATTATATCGTCCATTACATCAGTAAGGGTACTATCGTTTTCGTCGCTGTCATACGTCATCTCCTGATATCTATTATCGCGGTGATATATCCGAAAAGAATGTTGACGAGCTGCTGCTGCGGTCGGTAGCAATGCTATACAGGGTATGTCACGAAGAGCCTACACTATCATTAAATCGAGAGGCAGTCGGGAGAAATCCATGAAAATGTGCATGCTCATATTCCAGAATACGCTCTCGATTTAAAATATTTTGGACAATGCAGTATTGCCGCTTCTACTAGAAATTAGTAGCAACATATGGAACAACCTGTATTTCATCGCATTTTCAGATTCTTCCTGAGAGAAGATTTCATCGATATATCACACTTGGGGGTCTATCGAAAATAATTACAAAGATCCTGTTCAAAATCGAGATTTTTCAACTTTATGATTTTTTTGTGTCGAAACTATTCATTATAATATATCGGTCAAAAAGGCTCACGTGTCCCTATCTCAACTTTTTATTCATTATTTACTGATATTTAATTGGAACAAATACAGGATGGTTCGAGATTCAGAATTCTGATCACCCTGTATCTGTTCCGATTAAATATTAGTAAATAGTAAATCAAAACTTGAGATAGCGACATGTCAGCCGTTTTGGCCGATGATGAATAGTTTCGACACAAAAAAATCCTAAAGTTGAAAAATCTCGATTTTGAACACCCTATATCTCTGTGATAATGTTCGATAGACCCCAAGTGTGATGTATCGATGGAATCAGCTCTTCAGGGAGAATCTGCAATAAATGCAATAAAATACAGGGTATTCTTGAATAGAAGCGGCAACACTGCATTGATGAACAGAGCGTATTCTAGAATATCGTTCGTAGAGATAGTGTAAGCTCGTCGTGACATACCCTGTATACTCTGGCCCTCTGGCAATTGAACTCATAAAGCAGTGATATAGTTCGACTAGCCAAAGAAGTCCTGAGATGAAAGGTAGAGGATGAAGTCGTTTAGTTCTCGGAGCCTAGAGCATCCACACAATTCGGTTTTGCAGATAACGTCGATTTCTTCAAGTCATGAACGATATGACTTACTGCACTTTTGAATTGGAATAAATGAATAACAAGGGACTTAACACGGTTCCTTGAGGCATCCCTATTGGTATTTTTTAAGGATTACTGAGTATGTCATAAATTTGAACAGTTTATTGTCCTCTATCTTTCAGATAGTTTTCTTTTGATGGGAGGAAATCCTCATGGACGACAGTTGCTTATTTGTTTCATCGCAAACTGACAGAAGTCCGGTCAGTTTGCGATGGAAACACTTAGGTATCGTCCTATAGGACATTTATACTAGAGTCTAGGGCTAGCACCTTCTGAGGAGGCGAACGTACCCGAACGTAAAAATGTCCTTGACTAACAGAATTCCTCTAAAAGCTCGCCAATTTATTGTTCCCAACTAGGGAGAAAGCCAAAATACTCAAAGTGGAATGCAATGGTCACAAAGAGAGAGAAACTCAAAGTCATTACCACACTAGTTCATAAAATGAACGAAAATGGTAGATAACGATAGAAAAACAACTACTTTCCTGGCTATATGCCACGCAGAACATTGGATTACATCCCGAAATCTATGCAATAATTCGTATAGACGAATAAAATCGCAAGTGTTTCCTTCCTAAACGCTGAGCTGCGCTTGAGTGGTTCAGGAACGCTGACTACCTGCAGACCGGTTTCGAGCTGTTGGCTCTCATCAGCACAGGGCTGTCCCAGATAGTTTCTTGACTGCTATCTGGTGCCCTGTTAAGATGACAAATAAGTCAATTTATATCAAGGGACCCTAGCTGCCTAGCTGCAATAATCGCTTCTTTTTTCGTAGTTCGAGTAGCAGCCACTTGGGCTCGCCGACCACCACCCCGCCCAGCGTACAGCACACGTGCTCCCAGCTCATCAAGGCCGGGCTCAAACTGACGATCGAACAGAAACGAAAACAGCACAGCGACTGCGAGGACCTCCTGGACCTCGACAAGGTCAGCAAGAAGATCAAGAAGAACGAGTGCAGCGAGGACGAGGAGGACGACAGGATCAAGCAGGAACATGGCGTGAGTCTGAGATATTTGGTGCCCATAGACTAACGGTAGTAATGAGCCTCTTCTCCTGTGAAAATATACAGGGTTGCTGGTAAGTCGATACATTCCTTTAGAGGTGTGATAGGGAATGTGGTAAGGGGTCGATTCAACTCCAATATGCCTTACGCAAAAGTTAACAGTTTTTGAGATATTTGTCTTTTTCTCCAAAAGGTAGACTTTAAGGATTTGAAAGTTGAAAGTTACTTTCCCGAAAATTTGCTGTACATATTTGCAACCATTCAACTGAAATACATGATCAACACTATGGTCTTATGTTTGGAATGAAAAAAATCCAGAAATAATTTGGATCATAGATGAAAACCAAATACAAAGTCGTAATTCTGTTTGTGAATTGTGGATTTTAACACATTCCAGCGGTTATTCTTAGAAATATATCGAAGCAACATTTCTCAACAATTTTTTAAAACATCTTTAAGACAATGTCTATTTAACTAGGTGCAAATGGAACTGAAAAAGCTTGAAACTGATTTGTTATTCCAAACAAATGGTACGGCGATACAGCAGTTTTTTATTTCCGTTTATATGCTCGAGGCATCCAAATAGCATAAAACATTTTCATAACCTCCATTATTGAGCCGAAAAAAAAAACCCTTCTAAGGAAACCTAGTTTTGAACGGAAATGTTCTATTAATGTGTGGATGGAACTCATTGACAGTTACTTAAATAGGACCACATTTTTTCCTAGCCCATTTAAACAGAGGAATTGTATGAACATTTTCTACGGCATGATCTACAGGGGCTTCTTGATGATGTTTCTCTCGCCATCAGAGGTCGAATGATATCCCAACAAGACGGTTGTCCAGAGCATTATCGGCTGATCATTCGACAGTTCCTGGATGAACGTTTTTTGAACAATTGGATAGGAAAGCGCGTATCCCTGACCTAACCCCCCTTTATTATTAGGTGTGGGGTCATATGGAAGCGCTACTTAAAAAAAAAACCAGTAAATACCCGGGAAGAGCTCATAAAAAGTATAACTAACGCTGCCCTGCTCATACAAAATAATTTGACCAGTATAGAATAATAAAGACGGAAATAAGAAGACGCTGCCGAACATATTTTCGTAATAGAGGTCTCACTTTGAACAGGATTCGTAAAAAGTAAATAGAAGTTTTTCAAGTACGTTTTTAATATTTATTCAAAATAACAAACCTGTATCAAGCACCTATATTATTATTTGTACCCAGTTAGATAGCTATTGCCTTTAACAAATTTTTGACAAGTGTGCCTCAGAAATGTTTCTAGAAATACCCGCTAGGAAGAGTTGAAATCAACAATTCACAAATAAGAATACGACTTTGTATTTACAATTTATCTATGTATAATCTGAATTATTTCTGAAATTATTTCAATCCAAACATAAGATCATAGTGTTGATCATGTAGTCTAGTTGAAAGATTGAAAAAATTTTGAGTAGATTTTCTGGAAACTAACTTTTAAACCGAGGGGTAAATCACGGCGAAAAAAATTGTACACCAAACTTCCCGTGGGTCAAAACTTCCCAAACTTCCTCGAACTTCCTCGAACTTCCTCGAACTTCCTCAAACTTCCTCGAACTTCCCCAAACTTCCTCGAACTTCCTCAAACTTCCCCGAACTTCCTCAAACTTCCCAAACTTCCTCGAACTTCCCAAACTTCCTCGAACTTCCTCAAACTTCCCCGAACTTCCTCAAACTTCCCAAACTTCCTCGAACTTCCCAAACTTCCTCGAACTTCCTCAAACTTCCCCGAACTTCCCAAACTTCCTCGAACTTCCCAAACTACCTCGAACTTCCTAAACTTCCCGAAACGTTTCATCAAACGTCACAAACCAAGTACTTATAAGCAATTTAGTATCGATAGATTCAAAATTTGTTCTTTTTCTTATAGTGGATAGATATATAGGGTTTTCCGGTTTGTTATACAAAAATTCAACTGTGTGGTGTTCTCGTTGAAATAATGAAATACTTTTATTGCATTCATTATATACATAATCTACATTTTATCTTATAGAGCTTAAAAAGTTTAGTATCTTGGGTAATTTTGTGGATTTATCTCAAACCGTTTCGAACTTTTCATCAGAAAACAATATTCAGACTCGTATTTTAAACACCCTATATCTCGAAAACAAAGCGTTTGAAAGTATATGTTTATATGATTTTCCTTATAATTTCAACCGAGTACAACACAATCTTGAATATTTTTTATTACGAACCATATCCCATTGTATAGGTAGGTATTACCTACGTATATGTAAAGGTGGGTACCTAAACTTGAAAGTACTTTACTGGAAGGAATTTGAAACTGGATGTCATGAATATCTGCACTGTATTTCAATACAAAATGGAATTCTACTTTATTACAATTTTGATTAATCCACCGACAGAAATCAACTATCAAACTAATTACATAATATGCAATGCAGGTTTTCTGTACCACGAATTTTTAGGTAGGTAGGTACTATTGACTTATCCGAGGACTTATCTAACAGCATCTGTTGAAAGTTCCGAAATAATAATGAACTCTTCAAAATTATGTGAAATATTATTTCTATACAGGGTGTTTCAGAGTTGTGTCGACAAAAGCCTTGACAGAAGCCTCTAGCAATAATAAAAAACCCATAATTCATTTAACTCGAAAACGAAGCATTTTCGGACCCATTTTCATATTAACGCGATTTCATAATTTGTTGGGAGGAATCTCCCCTAGGCTTTTGTCACCACAGCTCTGTATATCCTGAGATATTTAGTTTCTTGGATTATCTAGCCAAAGGTTTTTCCCGACCGGCTCCGCCCAAACGTTCACAGACATCCTACAGCTTGCTCGGTCTTTCGGAAACTTCCCAAACATCCTCGAACCTCCAAAACTACCTGAACATCACGAAATGTTTCAGACTCCGCCGAACTTCCCAAACTTCCCCAAATCACCCAAACTTCCTCGAACTTCCCCAAACTTCCTCGAACTTCCCAAAACTTCCTCTAACTTCCCAAAACTTCCTCGAACTTCCCAAACTTCCTCGAACTTCCCCAAACTTCCTCGAACTTCCCAAAACTTCCTCGAACTTCCCAAACTTCCTCGAACTTCCCAAACTTCCTCGAACTTCCCTAAACTTCCTCGAACTTCCCCAAACTTCCTCGAACTTCCCAAAACTTCCTCGCATTTCCCAAACTTCCTCGAACTTCCCCAAACTTCCTCGAACTTCCCAAACTTCCTCGAACTACCCAAACTTCCTTGAACTTCCCAAACTTCCTCGAACTTCCTAAACTTCCCGAAACTTTTCAAACTTCACAAACCAGGTAAGCAATTTAGTATTGATTGATTCAACTTTTTCTCCTTTCCCTATGGTAGGTAGGTATAGGTAGGTTCAGTTAGATGCAAAGAAAATATCGCGGTTGGATGGTGTTAGCGCTCTTATTGCAGAGGTGACTAGATAGGTGCCATCACCGCCCTAGTGCGACATGTTCATTGCATCTGACTGTACGTATATGTATAGGCAGGTATAGGTGGGTATACCTTAACTTAAAAGTACTTTACTGGAAGGGATTTGAAACTGAATGTCATGAATATCTGCATTGTAATTTTTTAGTACCACGAATTTTCAGGTAGGTAGGTATTATTGAGTCATCTAACAGCATCTCTATTATTTGCTGAAATGAAAAAATCGAGAAATGAATATCCGACTAATCATTGCTTTCTGTTCTCAAAAATACCTAAACATCACGAAATGTTTCAAACTCTACCGAACTTCCCAAACTACCTCGAATATCCCAAACTTCCTCGAAATTCCCCAAACTTCTCCGAACATCCCAAACTTCCTCGAACTTCCCAAACTTCCTCGGTCTTCCCCAAACTTCCTCGAACTTCCCAAACTTCCTCGAACTTCCCCAAACTTCCTCGAACTTCCCAAACTTCCTCGAACTTCCTCGAACTTCCCCAAACTTCCTCGAACTTCCCCAAACTTCCTCGAACTTCCTTGTGTCTGTACACTAAACTTCCCACGTGATTTACCCCTCGTTTTAAACCCTTGAAGTCTACCCTTTAAAAAAAACAGAAAATTGTAAACATCTCAAATACTATCAACTTCTGCATAGTGCATATTAGGGTTAAATTTACTCCTAACCACCTCCCCTATCACATCTCAAAAGGAATGTATCAAATTACCAGTAACCCTGTATAGAAGGGGACCAATAAGTGTCACAAAATTTTCAGAAGTGGAATGAGTAAATATTATCAATGAACTTTTTATTTGCATAGATGAATTATCGAAGCGCTGTTGGTCCAATATTCAGGTCTAGTAAAGAAAAATAGCCATTTTGCATATATGAATAGTTATTAACCACCGCATTTTGTGGCGACAGTATATGAAATAATATGCGCATTGTTGCGGCCATATGCCCTGCAACTGAGTCCTGCAGTGGATCTACTTCTTCATATATCCAGCTTACCAACATATCAACTATGAAATAGCCACAATGCTCAGAGTGGAATGAAATGTTGAATAAATACAAAAAGCTCAAAGTCATCTCCACAAATGTTCATAAAATGAACAACAATGGTAGATAACGGCAGAAAAACTGACATACTGATTTCAAGCTTTTTTGGCTCTCATCATATTTGTGGAGATGACTTTGAGCTTTTTGTATTTATTTAACCATTCATTCCACTTTGTGTGCATTGTGGCTATTTCGTAGTTACGCCAGTCGGGCAACCAGTCACTCCCAGTTTTGGGTATTTCAGTTCTGTGGAGTGTTTCTTTCCTTCTATATGGACTAGATGGAAATTTTGGTGATGCCCAATTCGCAGGAAAGAAAATTGATGAGGAAATATTGATGAAATATGTGCGCCCACATGTTCCGACATTCAGCTGGGTGGGGATATTCCCGTCCAACTGGAAAATTGCAAGAGTACAACCAGTTCCTAAAAAAGGCAAAAAGACCCTACCTAGCAACTACAGGCCGATCGCACTGCTATCT